TATTCGCCCCCGGGTATTTAGAGACACCAAAGTAGATTTCGCTCTTATGTGGTCACGCTTTGGCCATTTTGTCCTGAAGAACCGTTACCCAATAAAAGAGAATCGCTATAAACTCGCGGCAGGCTAACAAAGACTTTAGGGGCAACCCATTGTTAGTAACTTTTGAGCACTGTACCTTTTATAGCTCATCTCTTGAATTGACACTAACGAATGTCTGCACACACAGCACGATTCGAAATAAAATATCGGCATAATGTAATACGACATACCATTATTTCGTTAGAGTCTTTCTGTCTACCAAGAGATTCTGCCGTTGAGTAGCACTCTTTACGTTTCATTTTTTAGTTGGAATCTTCCTGTACCTAGACTCAGCAGTATTTCTTGAGGGGATTGTAATTTCATGTCAGGCTTTGAGCATGATTGAAATTTGTATAGGGATCTCAACATTTCACTGCTTTAAATATTCATTTCCACTTCCAGGAGAACCTTACTATGGGCATGGGCAACTGTATAAATAATCGGTTGAAGACATCACGTCCAAATTTTTATAAATTTGAACTCCTAGTGTTAAGGAATGCAGGTACACGCATAAACTTGATGTCCGTCAGCGTTAAAATGTTACTGCACTGCAGTTTTCCCGTTTCGTGATCAAAACGATAACAAATCCGTCTACAAATAGCTGTTGGAATGCTCTGGCACCCTTCGCAAGTACGATGCAATGCTGAGAATCTCTCGATTTTCGGGGCTATTTTCGAAGTCCTCTTGTATAAAAATGATACAAATCTATAATACTGCTTTTAAAACCCTAGGTAGCTAAAGGGACTAGCAAAATTAAGTAAAGTTCCTTCCAATGTTTTTCGCGTTGTTTGCCATTGACAAATTTGTCAGTATTTTTGTAGCACTCTATAGACGTGAAGGGATCTCCACACTTTTGCATAAGCTATAACTGAAGGTTGATTTTGCGGGTTGAGTTATTTGGGGACACTGAAAAACACCAGCGGCAACTCTTGCCCAACTCAACTACTCCCTGGCTCTGTACTTATCAGTTGCACGTTAAAAATACTACACTTAAGAAGGATATCATCCTCGGCCTCATGCGTCTTGCTAACCCATCTGACAAACGTAGATGAACATCTTTTCTTACTTTGCTAACAGAGTACCGACCAAGTCGGGTATTTTCTCATCCAAATTGAGCGAGGCTTTGCGTGCAGTTTTCACCCTAATTCACAGAGTCCGGGAACCAGTAGTCCCGCATTTCAGCCAGTCAGATAACCGTTATTTTACCTGAACCAGTCTTCAGCATATTTTATTCCCATCTTAGAAGATGCTTATAGCTACAATCATTCTACTGAAGATGAAGGGGTGACCATGTAGATGTGGATTCGGTGACTCACAACTAGTCCACTAATCATAGTGTTCAGTGTTCTGTTCAGGAATCAGTAACCTGCCCACAAATGTTGCCAAACGTGATCTAGACACCCAAACCCCCAGTGATTTATTTCTGTAGGTTTTGAAACGTGACATTATTAGGGTGACTGTCTGGTTCTCCAAAGGTTCGGATGGGCAGTGATATTTGCCATTGGGTCACCTTAAAATGAAACTGCTCGATCCAGATAAGTGCTTCCCAGAATGTGATAGTTTGGGGCAAGCAGTTATTTTTAATTTCTAATTTTGGTAACTCCGCAATATTTTAAATTTCTGAACAATTTCCACAAACGTTAGCAGACCGTATACTCTGCATGTGATTGTGCTAGTGTATTGCATAACAGGGATACCGCTTATGTTGGTGTAATACGTCGTGTGTTCTCTTCGGTGTTGTCGCAAAAATACCAAGAGCCATGTGTAATTAATTAGCGCTGATTTCTTAAAAGTACAAAGAGTCATTTTGTAATTAGGTGCGGTCTTCGCAGACCACCGGCTCCAAATCCTGCCCGTGGCATTATGATATGCATATTTCTGCAAAACGTTCGCACATGCGAAGCTGCAGAACAAGGATGACTGAACAGTCTGAGTCTGGGTAAATAGAATCACTATTCGCGTGACTGTGCCTTGTTGGAGGTCCTCAACTACAGGGTGTGGCCGGCTGTTAGTTCTCGAAGACAGGTCATCCATCAAAGCATGTTTTTAAATTGCTGCTGAAGACTGCAGAAACTCCATTGTCTATTTAATGGCAGATGGCTTGTGATGACAAACCATCCGTTCATCCAACTCACTGATGATCATAGTATGGCAATCTGCATTGGGTTTCAGCTTTCTTTGAAGACACTGCGAAATCCACAACTTTCTTGGCAAAGAAAGGTGATGCAACCAGAACTTACTGTGATACGCTATTAGAGTTTCGTACTCCACCAGATTTCCCACAAAACCCACCGGTGTGCTCGCACCAAGCTTCTCTCGATAACCCAAAGGCAATCGAGTCACCTGGCAAATCGCTCTAATTCTTACCCAACACTTGCCCAACTCAACTACTCCCTGGCTCTGTACTTATCGTTTGCACGTTAAAAATACCACACTTCTGAAGGATTTAATGTCCTACTTTGCAGTTAATCACCTAACTTTTTTGGGGAGTTTCCGCCTTCTCCGTCATTCTGATAGCTTTTTTCTGAAATTCCGTGCTCTCTAAATGATGTGACGTAACTTATCACCATCTGAATGGACCCCATAGAGCAAACGTTTTGTATTTCTGGAATAAAATTCCACAATCATGTAATATTCAACTACAGGTTTTGTTGAGTTTCCCGAAGCGGAATTTTGAGTGACGCGTAGGTTCAACAATCCCAAAGATCAAAAGGAAGGACTTGGTCTAAAATTCTACGGTACCATTTACACATAAGTAGTCCAATCCATCCAACAAACCTCCATTGTCCATGTTCGTAGCGTCAAAAAGTGCACAAGTCTGTCATTAGTACCCCACTCTCATCATCAAGTTCACATCGTACTCACCATTTCGTCCTTTCCACCAGGTTACCGGTGTTCTTGTTGGGTCGTTTGTGCGGTGATAACAGCCCGGCCATTCAACCAAATCTCCTTCGCTACCGCATAAACCCCAACTGCTCTACTTACTCCGCCTGCCCGACGGAGGTTCTCTGGACGTCATAAGCTGCTGATGGTATTGACAGTGGCGTTGTAAGTGTGTGCGCGTCCCAAAATTGATCAGTCACAGGTTGAATCATCGGATCTTTTCCAGATAGGCACCGCCACAAATGCTAAAAGTGCATGTGCGAAAAGTTAAGCCCCGCCAATTTTTGCTAGCTCCAAATTGATGGACGCACACAACCTTGACCTGTTTTTGATGACAACAATCCCTTATCCGCATCTAGGCTCATTTTGTGTAGAAAGTTTCTCCGTTCGAACTTAAAACCTTAAATGAACTTTCTGACGCTTTCAACTCTCGTTCATAACAAGAAGTAAGTACGTTTTTTGCAAAGCCGCGGAGTGATACATCAGCAACGTCTACGCAACGATGGCCACCAAATGACACTTTCAACTGTTTCTGACAGGTGGAGGCATAATGCCCGACAATGTAGGTAAGAAATCGGTCTTCGGAAGGGAATTTGGCTGCAGCGGTCCAGGATGGAGTTCAGGACAGTAATTCGATTCACTTATTGCTGGTCCAAAAAGTTAGCAAAAATCAGATTCTGCTTGGAGGAATTACCTATTAGCAACACTACCGCTGTTGACTTGAGGAACTTTCTTCGCGGAGTTTGCGCCTGGCGGCTTTTACAGACTCCAGCAGTTGCCGGTGGCCCAGATCTACACGTCGAGATCGATGAAACGCTAATACCTCGCAGTAAAAACCACGCAGGGCGAGTCCTTTCCTAGCAGTGGATTTTCAGAGGGATCTGCCGGGAAACTAAAGAGGTGTTTATGTATGCCATGTCAGATCGAACCGCGGCCACTTTGATAGAGATAATCCGGGCCTGCACCGCTCCCGGCTAAATCATCATCTCTGATATGTGGGCATCATATCAAGGAATTGAAACGATGATTGACATGAATTCTACTTATGAAACGGTTAAACTTTGGCACGTCTAGAAGAGGCAGAATAAACGCCAATGCGACACACAATGTTCTTTAGTGGACAGCTACTCGTGTGAGTTCGTTTGGAGACGAAGATACCAAAAAATTTACCTTTTCAAATTATAAACGACATGTCCAAATTTCACTCTCTTCAATAAAAACTAAAAGTACAATTTTCATATCCCCTTTCTTCTAATCTCTTTTAGGTGGCGAGGTTGATTTTTTGTCCAGGCTTAACTGGAACAGGATTTGATGATTCATCAACTGGTCCTATCTGGCATCACATAATAATAACTATGATTGTTCTCCAAGGACAACCTTGCTGGTTAGACCACCGCGTTTGGTTATGCTTAAATCCTCATAGTTGTTTCCACAGCTAAAATGTACTTGCACTTATTTTGGCCTTCATTTCTGTGGCTGGAATTGTTAACTTCAGTGGAGGACTACACAGCTTACTGTAGAAAAAAGCTCTATTGTGGAAAAGAATATGCCGTTGGATGAGTATTAAGTCACAGCATTCTTTTAGGACCGTTCGGCAAATTCCATTGGTAAACTGTTGCTTGACGACTTCCAATGAGTGACACATTATAGGTCAAGCGGTCAGGCATCTCTGAGTTAAAGAACGAGGAGGTAAATGTATCAATTGGATAAGACCATTCAACAAACCATCATGCGCTTATCGCGTATGATATAAGCTGACACTGTTACCCAAGTGTTTTTTAATTCGTTGATATTCACTATTCAACCGCTCATAGAACCGAACTGAGGACAGGTCTTTTGCAAAGACCGTGTGGACTTGCTTAATATCACTACCCGTAGGCAGTTACAAATAAATGGAGATAAATGTCTTGTCTGAGGTCTGTTTATTCAAAGTGTGTTGTTAGATTTGCACAGAAAATCCCGAGGGTGACAGTGAAACCTGTCTACTTAGGAGACATTGCTCCTTGTCAATATGCGACAACTATGTGGCAGCGAATCCATCAAAGCCACTCGAACGTGTCCATTGTTGTATCCGGCAAGCGGATGTCACGGTCAGTGAGCTCATTGTATTGAGTTTGCGATCCAATCGTCTTTCGCTCCCTCAAAATACGTTCATCTCTTGACCTGCAGTCCTAAAAAGCAGAGAAATTTTGTGATGAAAAAATTTACACGTAAATGCACCTGGAACATATTTTAGGCACAGGGGCCAAGTTAGAGATTCAACTGACTATCGCGTTCAATTAGATTGATACGTTTAGGAACGGCCAGTCATTTTTTTCAAAAGGATCGTTCGCGTGATAAATAGCGTAGCAGCCTTTAAGATCACATGCAAAATTATTGTTTCAATGGAAGATGGGAGGTATTGCTCCCTACTGGAATCTCGGACTTCAAAGCGTGTTTCAAACTTCTCATCAAAAGAGTCTCTTTAGAGGACAAATCCCTCTTAAAAGTCCAATTGAAGGAGTCCACTACGGCTTTCTGTGTGAAAAGCCTCTTCGTTTATTACTTTGGAGTACACCACAATAATCTGGGTACAGTAGTATATGGCACTTAGATCGGTTAAGTTTTGTTAATAAGGGTTTTTTGACACAACTTATACTGAATAATAAAACTTAAGTCCATATTACAAAACGGAGAGATAACCTTTAATACCCTTGTTTGACTTTGAGAGTGTTTGGTTGTAGCCATCTGTGCATGTATTTTAACTCATTTCCGTTGAATTCTTTCTTCATTTCTTTATTCCACCAGGTTGTAAATCCCACTCTCTTGGAAATAAAGAATATCACATGAGTCGGCACATATAGACGACATTAACTTGTAGATCCTTATTTTGATTGATGAGGTTTCTGTAGTTGGACAGATTTCTCACGATCGGTCATTAATTCATGGCGCGAGCGAGCCAGATGATCTGCTAAGCGAGCAAATGAGCGTGAGTACGCACGTGCACAGATGATGTGTGCATATGGTCATGAGAGACAGAGCCAACACCGTCAAGAATAAACATTTGAGGACCGAAAAAAAGGAACCATGACATTCTTGATTGGGGTACAGTTGACGCCAGCGTATACCCTGATGTGTTTTCGATTGTTTTTGTATCGGTGCAATCCAGTCAGATTGCTGAACAAAGATGACATATTGTGAATCTACTGTAAATACACGTCTTAAACTGTAAACGGTGTTGCCGGTCGACTGTCGGGTAATTTGTCAAGCAATGTTGGAGACCGAAATATACCGAAAAATTCCAACGTTGATATGGCGATGGAAAAATAAGCGTGTTTTTCAAATTTTCAAACTCGTGCATCTGGAAGGGGAAACCCATATCTATGCTATTGGAATTCACCTTCCTGCTTGCATGTTGTCTGTGATGTACCTCATATCAGGCATAATGTGTCAGTTGTGGGGAAATTCTTCCGGTGATTTCCACAACGCGCGAAGAATTTTAAACAAGATCACACCACAAAGATTAGGTGACTAAAATTTTACGGGTTGACTTCATGAATTCAGGCATAAGTTTCCAAATGCCTTTTATTCTGATATAGCTGTAAAGCTGTAAGGTAAGCTGAAACAGTCAAGTTGATCAAGTAAAAAGGAAGAGCTCATGGTTAATTTTCTTAAAAAAACTACTCACAAGGTTGCTTCGACAGCCCACGACCGGTTTCGCCCTTCTAGGTGCAGTTCCCGGGTTTCCGTCAACCTTATGTTCTACTTGAACCCAAATTGGACTGTTTTCGAGAAATACACTCATTTGCAAATCAATTTGGTTTTCACGAGAGGCTCAACTGAATCTCTCGTTTATGATATTCTACAACTGAATGTGCCGCACACAAGCCTCTTCATGATTCAGTTGGCACGATATTCGACACATTGCAATATATTTTCATAAAGGAAACTACTCACAAGGTTGCCGAAAACTCTTCGACATCCCACGACCGGTTTCGCCCTTCTTGAGGCTCATCGTTCAGTTGTAGAATATCATAAACGAGAGATTCATTTGAGCCTCTTGTGAAAACCAAAGTGATTTGCAAATGATTGTATTTCTCGAGGTCATGGTTAAATTTAACGCGGATCGAAAATTTTTTGATAGATTACGAGCTAAAATAACTACGCTCACAAAATATCCCTTGCTACTGCATTTATTGGTGTGGATAACCGGAAACTCGAAAAATTTATGTGGAACGAAGCTATGCGCTTAGAAGAAGACGCGCTGTTTTCGAAAAATCATGGGAGCATAAACACAACAAAATTTTTGAGTGTCCTGGAACTCATTAGTAATGAATTTTAGTTTTCATTATCTCGGAAACCACAAAAAATATACGTCTGGTATGTCAGAATTGGTTGTTTCCTACCTGCACTGCTGGAAGGAATCTCGCGCGTTCAACCATTGCATACACCTTTCCATCTGTCCATGCAGTTCCAAATGGATCAGTTGTCCCAGAACAGTCCTTTTCGGTCCTTATCTGTTGTCGAATTTGTTTCCTTTCTTCATTGCCAGCGAAAATGTGTGGCAGCCGGGTTGATCTCGCATTATGCAGACCGTCTGTACGTTTGCAATATGAAATGCCTTCGGTACAGTGTGATGTGAAATCCAAGCCTTCTTTGGAGTCCAACAGGTATGGCTTTTGCATGGTATATAGCGCCTCCATTCTATTCCAGTGACATTTCGAATGTTTACGTAATGAGCTGGGATCCGTGTACCGCTTAGTACAACCAGGAACTTGACAAGCATAGGGTTTCTTTAATGTGTTAGGCGATCGCGTGGAATTTTCGAAAGCAAAGGAAGTGGTTTCAAATTATAGAATTAGTATTATATTTTCACACCAAATCTTATGAGTACCCTAATATAACCCAAGTACTCTGTGTTCTCGGCTTGGTCCAGTGAGTTTAGACAATTTCAATCAAAGGGACGGTCGAGTGACGAAAACCTGAGAGACATGTGAATGGTTCATAATTTAATGTGAGCAGTATTTCTCATTGAATATATGATTTCTGAAAAGAAAATAGTTGTTCTTACAACCAAATGTATTTAGTCATCTTGGCCGATTCGTTTTATCAGGTATTAAGTTATCCAAAATGACAGTGGTTGGTCGCCATATTCTTATAAAACAACGTTTCAGCATTAATTGTAACCTCCTGGCCACCGGCAATTCATTAACGATTTTTATTCCCTTGTGCTGCATGTTCAAGAGCAAAGTTTGCTAGCGAACCATTGTTGCAGCTTTCAAAACCCCAAAAATATATAGCCATTCGCACAAAGATGAGCTTCAAATCAACTCTGAAAGAGATATCTTTAGAAGAGATCATGCGTTTTTAAACTTTTATCATTACTTTGAATCAAGAAGGCATCAACCGTCATTTCGCGTCATTGACTAGTTTCTCGACCGTGTTCTAATGAAACATTTTTTAAGGTCTCCGTTTTTGAAGAATGAAGAGGGATATTCCTATACCCCTCGTTAGATAATTTGCTCTAACCCGTGGAGGTGGTTCCTTTACAAAGGACACTTGTATTATAAAATTATTTGGGAATGTCTTTACTTTGGAAAACAACTACTGCATCTGAAACTCAGTTGTATCGCGACTAGGTTTTACATGTTACAAACGTTCACTAGACGCAAACTGGGAATTATTCAAGTATCTCGAAGGACCAGACAATGCCGGCATATGACACGAGTTCTTAAGTTGTTTTCTTGTAGTATACTTGAAAAGCGGCTTTGGGATCCTGATAGAGAAGAAACAAATCTCGCTGTTAAATCGTATGTGGGTGGCTAAGAAGGATAATGGACAGAGTTCCCGGCCGGTCGAGCTAGTGTACTACCTGGGCGTAAAGCTCGTCTCAGCATGTGTGACCTTGGAGACGTTAGTGATCTGATGAGTCGCGTGATATCATGTAACGCTAGCAACTCTGACTTGACATGCTTACATACAAATTCATCAAAATTCTGCAGTTTTACGGACGATGATCTTATGACCACACCAATTATGCAGTCAGGGACAGATGGCTGATTCTGACTGGCCTTCCAAGAAGCAGAAGCAAATATTAAATGGGCACTGACAAATCCATACGTCCTATGAAGTTTTCTCGCATCATTCTAATTCCATAGCTCATGTAGAAACTTCGGAATCAAACAAACCTCTTTGTCGTGGTGGAAGCCAAGTAGGAACTAGGCTTTCGTTTTTATGGCGAAATTTTTCGACTGATCATTATTCCAAGTTTAGGTCACGCGTTAGAATGTCAAAGTTTTAGTTTATCACTGTATCACACTATATGCTATACCTTCCGCGTTTTATGCACGTCATTTACATTACGTTGAGCTTGGTATTTGCGGACAGTCAAATACCGACTTGGTTGAACTTTAAATACACTTTTACGCTCACTATGAACGTTTTCCATATACTGATCCCTAACTTCTCGGCGTTTCTCTAAAAGGTCTGTATTTAACATCACAGGAATGAGTCTTCGACTGTAGGCAAAAAGTCAAAAGGAGAATACTTGAGCCAAGTTCGTTGCTCACTAAATTTTCAATGAACAGTAGTTGTCTATGGTTGTTCAGCACCATGTTGAGTTCCTGAATTTTCCTGTGTTGATTTAGAAATTAATTGTTTTAAAATACTCAGTATATTAACTCACCGTATGCACATGGGTTCTTTGGTGTTTGGCTCTGTCCGAACTGTTTGAGAACGCTTTGTTGCAGTTTTCCAGATGACATACAAATGGCTTGTCTCCCGTGTGTGACCGCATGTGGATTTTCAGATTTTCCAGCCGGGAGAAAGCTTTTATACATCCAGCATACTGAAACACACACAAAGTGGGTAACAATGTGGCTTTATGCGTTAGGACAAGCAGAAAATGATGAATCCGAACACTTGTAACTTTGTAGAACTTTGAGTTTTTGGGCCTAACTCAACGTGTACAAGTATTTGGCTAATAAAATGAGTTCACATCACAGTCTCTTAGCTGATCCTAAATTTGTTAGTCCAGTCCTTTATGGGAACTTTTATTAGCGTACGATATGGGGGAATTGTTGCCACTTTATAAGAAATGTCCGAAATAGACTACATAATTTGATGAATTCTGCTTTAAAATCAACTGAAGGTTAAACACTGCGTCACATGTGCATTCTAAGAGATGTTACGCTGTGTGGTGGAGAAAAGTAATAGAAGGAATGTATAAACTCCTCAGAAATACTAAAAAGCTTCACATTTCGTATCGATGTTCCGTTCGTGCAGAGAATCGTTGCGCTTTGCTAAGATGATTATTAGAACGATGAGAACCGTCAATTTAACCGTGTTATTATTCGTGCAATGTAATGCAAAGGTAACGACAAAGAACGTTTTCGAGCTGTGTTCAATTTTAAGCAAAAGAACTTCTGAACAGGAAGTTCTCTAGGCTAGCCACTTCAAAGAAAAAATTCGTGCAGCTCACTTCTTCAGCGACGAATTAAGCAAAAGCGCTATAAAACTCAGCTCGAGATAGCTTAGCACGGCACGAAATTACCTACCGGTTAGATAAAACAAAACATCTGCGTCCCTACTGTCTCTGTTTAGGCTTGGGCAACCTGGCGGTATCTCAGTCCTCGTGCTTCCTTTGGATGACGTGGTGGTTAGACACCGATAGCCTGCTGAAACATGTCGATTTTTTAATCAGTCCAGTGGAGACCGCTGTTTGTCTAATGAGAAAGAGACCTGGCATCGTGGTAATAAACTCAGATAGTTATTTGTTAAAAATGATATCTATTTACTCAGGCAAAACGCTGAAGTTGGACAGCACACTAGAGTACAAGAAATCTTGAACGCCAAAGTCCTCATGGTTCCAGCACTGAATCTGAGTATGTAAAGCTTAAGGCGCTCGAAATCCAGACATCTAAAATGCAGGATTCACTGAAAATTTATAACCCGACCATGTCACTTGGTCTCGCATTAAAAGTCTACACTTCCGCCTATTGCATAGTGCGGCGATGGTGATCCATGTTTTTACACCTATCCGGACGAGTTTATCGCTTTTTTGTTTATGTGATTCACTTGGACACTGCAACAACGTCGAAGCAATATTATCAGCAAGTTCAAACAAAGTGCTTTGCATTGGTGTAAAATCCTTTATTACTAACTTACAACTACTTTATATCGTTTAATTTTGTGTGAATGGACGCTTAGCCAAAACATTTCAATAGGCGTCTCACATCCTCTACTACCAGATCTTATACTTGAGAGTGCGAAACTGGTTCATTTTGATTTTCAAAGCGTCTCCCACTAGAGACAAATCTTTGGGCCCTGCAAGTCCCTGGGGTAGAAGAATATTCACGTTATAAACACAAAGTTGAGCTATAAACAAACTTTATAATGATGATATTCTACTTTCCACCGCTGAAGAACAGTTAATTTTGTTCCTTAATCTCCTTAACAATATACATCCCATAAATGCAATATATCATAAAAAGGCGCGAAATTCATCTGAGTTCCGGTTTCACCTCAAATCCGCTTGAATAACACTCAAACCGTGTTAGCTACTGTAAACGAAAATTCTCGGAGTATGCAAATTCATTTTTAAGCTTTTCATCTGTGCTTTACATGAGACAACACACAGCCAGTGTCAGTCTGCGGCCCGTGGCATAATACAACCCACTGAAAGAAATATGTTGGTTACATAATTTGATTGATTTCAGATAATAATTCGTTATTCTGTGCGGAATAACGGCGATTAAACTGAGACAATCAGTTCTATGCCGTAATAATTACTCAAGGCATTTGCCCAGATTGTTATTAACCACTGACTACTCGATTCCCCTTGAATACTTTTGCCTGTTTTCCGAACTGCGATTGCTATGTGGTAAACCTATGAATATAGGTTTTTCTGGACAGCCGATTGGAGCAAAATTGTAATTCAATAATAAATTGAATAGAGGGGATTCAATTTTTTAAATTATGAAACACGAAGGAAAGGTATGATCATGGTGCTCGGATAAAGAGAGCAAAATCGAAGCACCTGTGATCAAATCTTACCGGACACTTGCTAGGCCTTTCACCATTATGTATGCGCATGTGCACCAGCAATTTGTATCGTGCATTAAACGGCTTCATTTGCCGACGACATCCTTCCCAGTGGCAGCGGTACTCTTTGTTCATGATGTAGGGAGCAATATGAGTTTGTTCTATATGCAGCACCAGCGACTTCTGTTCTTTGCAGTCCTAAAAAGATGTCCAAGGTAAATTTTCGTTGCTTTTTCAAAACGGGTTTAAAAAGCTACTTTGATTCGGAAAGTTTGAGCTGAAAATAATCCGTTTCTTTACCAACGCTAATTAGAAAACCTTAATTAAGAAGCAATTTTTCTTGTTGACCTGTGCTTTGTATGAGTCCCGTTGAAAGGAAATTTAGAAAGTACAATAATTCTAAACATAAGTTTGTACACGGAATCATCAGACAGATGTGTACGATAAGTATAAAGGTCGATACAAAAAGTTCAAGGAAAACTTCTGGCTAGATTTTCAAAAACGTTTAAGGGCTTATAATTTTCAACATGAAGTTTAGCATTTCTCAGTTAGAAAGGTATATATAAGGTCAATGGAGCCTGTGGAATTTTTTCTAATTTAATAAGCACTAACCATACTTGAAACCCTCATGAAATTCACTGTGAACAGCTTTCACCTTTGGGCCTTGTGTCCACTGGATATCAGCAGGCTGACACCTGCTTATTCCGAGACCCTACAGGATAGACTATGTACATATGTAGTTGCACGACAAAAACTATTGAAAATGATCCTGATTTTACTAATACAACAAAAAGCACAGTTTGTTAGGAGTGAAACACTTGATCAATTTTAATATCTACTTCGGTAATCCGTTCCAATACAGATATCTTTTTCCTTGGACCCATTAAGGCCAGTTTAACTCCTTGTAAAAAATGATGTTTAAGGAAGATTCAACATGGCGTACTTTCATCATCTTGGATTTATCCGAACAGAAAGTGGCCTACACTATCTTACGTTTTCCTCTTCTTGACACAAGGAGATTCGTTTTCAAGGAGTAGATTCAACAGATTTGTTTCAGTGCTGGCACAGGGCCGCGACATATGTACAAATTGCTGACCGACTCCTGTGGAACTAGACTAAACGGCTACCGGTGCTGCACAAATGGGAGACGAGGTTTCTGTCTGTCTGAAGAAAGAAAACTGAATATTTTTTCCATCAAAAAATAGGTCATGGCCTCATCTGTGATGTCCCACGCGGCGAAGCACTGGAGGTTGCACACTATGTCGAAAGGTTTCGGATAAGACAAGTAGATGTTTTTGGCAGAAAGCATGCACTGAAGGTCCCCACCTATTATGCCGAACAACATTTGCTAGGATTTGCAAATAGTTGTATTTGTTGAAACTTTTGCTATCATTATTGGAAATACAATAAGAATTATTCAGTAAGATAAAGACGAGCAAGTGGTGAACAAAAGAAATTTTCGTGAGAAGTTAGTAGAAACAAAACTAAACTTTCACATACCTTGAAGCATTTCGCCCAGCGACATATGGTCGGTGGACTTTCAGGCTTTTGGTTGTCCTTTGTTGGATTGAATCTGATGTACTGTTCCAGTGTACGCATGCAGGTTACAGGGTGCTCAGATTGGGAAAATTTACTGTTTCCAATATCGGGGACATTATTGGGAGAGCCCGAATGATTTGGGGTGATTGCAGAACAAGTTGAAGTTATGTGGCTGTCCTGCTTCTGGCCCGAGCAGGAAGATAAAGTTTTTGGAGTTTCCACCAGTTGCTGTTCTAACTGAATATTTTTCTTGTGATTCATACGAATATCCGTCAGATTTGTTTGCCTTCTGCTGAGTGATGGCACGCCCAAACAAAGCTTTGGAGAATCGTTGACTATTTGTGAGTGTTTAATATCCTCACACTCTTCGTTAGTCCCCTCAAATTGTGAATAGTTCTGTGAGGGCGTACATCTATTGTCCGGTGAAATTTTTGTAGGAACAAAGTGCCAGCCAAGCTACAGAAGGATTGCACGTTTTTAGAAGGAGGTGAAATTATGGCCTGTTTTTATATTCATATTTATGCAGATTATTTATTCCTTATTACGTTTAAAACATTTGCTTCGGTTTTACAAAAATTTAATCACAAAGGGGCTATTAATGGGTGCACGCAGTTAGACCCCAGTATTCAATCTCCAATATCATTGACAACACAGCTCTTGGAATCTTCCTGAAAGGGAACTATCATAGTCGTACCTCGCTGTATGGCTTGCTTTAAACTTCTCCAGTTGAGATGCCAACTCCCGTTCCACACAGGCGGAAGGGCATATTTGATGTGCTTCAGTGAGCAATGTTTGCGCAACATTGAAAATTTTTCTATTGAATCAACGCTGAATAGATCTATATACTACGCGGGCCACATTTGTTCTTTACAGAATCTAAGTTTTCATAAGCCGACAAAAGGCCTCAAAATGTGGACAACAGTCAAAACGGTTTTAACATGTCGTCGTAAAATTGCCTGTGAGTAGTGCCATATATCGGAGTCATTAGCTAGATCATGAGGTCTTACCAGAATTGGTTTGTTTGTTTTTTATCACTGCCTATCCAGTTCTGAAAGTATTCCAATGACTAATGGTAAAGTATTCCTTATCATCAAGGAACAGACATTTGCGTCCGTCAGTTAGGAAAGTTTCAGACATAATAAAGATCTGATAAAGAAGCCAAACTTTTAGGTGCCGTGGAGGTGAGCTCAATGTGCATCCTTTTACAGAACCGAAAATCATCAAAGAGTTTTGTTCAGCAAACAAAACTCACAACTTCTTTTCCAACTCCACAGTGGGAAAATGACAATGCAGGACATTTGGCAGAATTTATGAAGAATGGCAGACGAAGTAGCATACTTATTTTACAGCATTCGGTGCATTAGGCGACTAATACTTTTAAAGCGCCAAATTAAAGGGCAATGTTTATACCGTGTTCTGCAAGGAATTAAAGGAGGCGCAATTTATTGACGTGCTTACATTTTATTAGCCTTGCATCAAATTAGTTTCATGCCCCACTAAGGGAGATTCGCTGCAGGTAATAAGTATAAATATTAATGGCTTCGATGAGCTGTTTGGCAAGCTCTACATTTGGTTAACAAACCAATTATCAGCCTGTGAGGAGATGTCATAAATGCGTGCAATGATGATGTTTCGTCTCGTGGCGACGAGAATACTGCAAGTCAATTATCAGTATCCTCAAACAGATTATTTGCAATCTGAGTTCCGAGTGTGTGCTTCGCGTAGTCATCAGTAGACGTTCATCCTGACTAACAAATAATAATTGTTTTTTATACGGATCTGGAAAATTTTCCTAATGTATCATTCGTTTGTGATATTCATTTGTCGCAACAGAAGCTCACCTGTAGACTGTTTGAGATCCTGTAGTTCTCGGAAACGCAGGACAACGCAGTCTGCTTGTTTACAACGCTGTAGTTTGTCCCTGAACAATATTTGTCACGCTTTCCGTTGCAAATAAGCTTGTTTAGAGAATTCTGAGGTCGATTTTGGGTTATCTCTGGTAAACCTGATTGTGCATGCATCTCCAAATACGTAGGTTGGGAAAAATCACCGCTGTCAGAGAGAGATGAGTTGTTGGTTGATCGATCGGTAGGTCCGATGTTAGACCACACACTTCCAGGTGGATTACCTAGAAGAAAAATCATGCACAGTTTGCAGCCAAATAGCCCGAAATTGTAGTTTCTTAAAAGAAAAAAGGGTGAAAACTGGCACCGAAATCAAGAGATGTCTCACTGTCTTAGTAAGTTACTGCTTTATAAGGGACAACCTCAATAGCTTTTTCGCTATGAGTGTTTCATTGGGTAGATATAACTCTGCTGCCCAGATGTTCATAGATAATTGCTGGGATTAGTGAAGTTGGTTCTGTGATAATTTGCATTGTACTGAAGTGATGATGTAAGGCACTTTTAGTTATTCGGTTGTCATAGCATCAACGTATGTCTCTTCTACCTGTTTCATGTGTGATTTATGGGGATGCTTGTTGTCCCCCTCTGATAGTCCCCAGCCTAACGAATGTCGACCCCCTAAAGTTCTCAGCATTTCGGAAGTCGGGTTTTGGCAAACCTATCAAGACTTCATAAACTAATAATGCAGGGGAACCAGAGCAATTTGTTTTAGTGATGTTTAATAGACTCTGAAGGTTATGAAACAGACAATTAAGACGTCATGATTTCTAAAGGGTTGCATTTAAATTATATTGCATTTGGCTTAGGGAGGGGATCACTTACTGCGAACGGAGATCACATGACGAATAGGTGATGTTGGCTAAACAAGACTGATACGGAGTAACCAGCAATTAGTATTGCTATGCACAGCATATCAGGGGCAGTGGTCGACAGTACTCAGTGGCCAAGATACGAAAATGTAATTTATAGTTCAAATGAAAGACAGGTCGTGTTTGTCATGCACTCAGCTTGGGGAAGAAGAGTAAAAAACACAGGTCTGCGCTCTTAGCTATCAGAACAAAGTTCAAAATCGATTAAATCTGGTAATTCAATAGACTTTTGGACATAGGGTGGCAACGCTAAATACTATTCTGTTCCAGATCAGCTGAGTTGAACAGTGGCGGCATGTGATTAATTACGAACTTGGGCTATCAATCAAAGATGCTCACATCGAAAATACATCACGAAGACAAGTGACAATCCGGAGAATGTCACTTCTCCAACCACATTTTCGTAGTATAGAACCTACCAGCTTACATAGACTAATAAAAATCGTAAAAACTCCTAGGAATGGCTCAGTATACAAATTTAGGAATATTTTACTGACCAGTTCTCTGCCTTCCTTCAAAATTTGCCAACCTAGTGTTTTTCTCAGTTTTGATAGCAAGGCTTGTGTGTAAAAGGCAAAGCATCACCAAGTACTAAATCGACCCTTACGGTTCTGTTTTCACAGTGAGGGAAATTTTTCTCGTTAGTAAATTGCGCATCAATACCACTTCGTGAAAACTGTAGGGATAAATCCCATCGGTAAGTCGTTGAAATTATATGAACAAAGTACAATTTTCACCTTTTATTCTCCACGTTTCTGGCCACAACGACACTCAATTCCTTCGTATTGGACGGGCCATTTAAGGAATTATTCTTAGGGCACCTTTTTATTTCTATTCAGTTCACATCAACAGGCAGCAGCGCATGAGCGATCAAAGCTCTAGGGCGTACCGCTTTTGGACAAATTCACGGAGAGAAGCGGTGTTTTAGTCGATATTTGATCAAACTCTACAAGATCCCTGGCCCCAGTTTTTTGTTTAATTTCGGAACTACCGTCCTCACTCCGTGTTTTATTGAAGTTGTTTTTCCGTTATATACACAGCCTGCCAAGATGTTCTACAAAGATTGCGATAAAGCTTATCTCTGGCCTGTCTACCAAATGGTCTAACACACAAAAATGCCAAAGAAGCAGTCACTACATCACTACTGAATCAAAACAGATGGAGCGAAGCATCATCATTCAGCTTGCTCTCTTCACATAAAAAACAGGAATGGCCTTTATGTAATTTTGTATCAAAATGGTTTGTCGTTTCTTTGATGAACTGACTAGATGTTTTATCTCAGTGACTTTTCATACCTTAGTAAATCATGCAATATGAGCTTGGCCTCTAGGCATTTGTCCTTATTTATTCAGTCGTTCTAACAATAAGTCAAGTTATCTAGTTATAAAGTTCAGAGTCCTTTCATCGTCGTATGTGCATGTCCTCTCATTTGTACGGCGGAGAATTCGCATTAAAATTAGGTTAATTTCTTGAGACGGCACGGAACTCAAAATTTCTTTACTACAGTTATCCATTATGCGATGATCTCAGTTGGTGGACCCCACTTACTGGTACAGTTTGAAAGACAAGACGAGCTACTTGGCCGAACATGTAGGTGACTGCATTTGTTTATCGCCAAATAGGCGTAAGCTCAGCGTGTTTTCGAACGCCTGATTAAGCGCAACAATAAACATGTATCAGCCTTCAGCGAAGCATTCGGATTGAAGGCGGACTCCAACTAGAAAATCTCTGTTTCTTGTCTTTCAGCAGAGAGTTGCACTTTTCCAAATTGAGTTATCCAAGGCAGACATCAAATCGTTCAACAAAGTTACATTACGTGCAATTATATACAAAGACAGGATTTTGAACCACCTTATGAGATGGAATGACGCAAATAAGATGTCAGTTGAACGTTGTTCATAATAACTAGGTTGGTTTTTCCTCTCATTGTCGGCTGGATTATCCTGGAATGGAGCATACGTCATGTCAAATTGGTATAGTCCTCAATATTTTTGAACAGGAGTCGGTCACGATTTTCCGACTAATACCATCTTGGCATTAGCTTGGAGCTGGCAATTTGCTGACGCAGTCACTTGTTTAACTCTGAGTAGCACCTTTTGTAAGCAACTAAAGAATCTACGGCTAGCATGCTGGGTCCGGGCCAAGATATCTTATTCTATATATATACCAGACTTCACGAATGGTGTTCGTAAAAGCATTTCAAACATTTCAAACTAATCAAAGCCTTTTAAAGTGAGATGAAAGCCATGGTGCAGACCTGCGCAACTATTTCAGACGAGTTCAAAACTGATATTGGAATAAGACAGGGCTGTTTTGTTACCGTAGCTCTATTCCGCTTTACTCTATCAACCATCTGTACGTAAACCTGACGCCAGCACGAGGGTGGTCTTTTGATTCAGTCTCGTTTGGATGGCTACTATTCAGTTAGTATCCAACTCGACGAGTTTTCTGACCGGAAATCATCAGCAGTGCGCATCTCACGAAATTCCGGCGAACTCCCGAGTAGTAGTTTGACTGGCTTCACGAGCAACGACCGCGTGATTTGGATCTCGTGATTGAAGGATGAGCGGCGAGTTAATCCCACTGCTGATAAGCCGCTCGTGGCAGAACGGATAAGTGTTCAAACTACAAGCTGGGAGGTCGCGGATTCGAGACTCTCTGGAGTTTCGTGAGGTGCGCACTGCTGATGAGTTCCTATAAGGATGAAACAGTTGTACAGTGCTTCTCGGCCCTTCAGAATAGATTGGCTTTAATTACAAAACGAAATCGCCACAAAAAGTAGTCTGTTTGTCTCAACGGTTGGGGTAGAGGGCTCCACAGAATTCCGCTATGCTGGCAGCACATTGTCTGATAAAATCCGTACTTGATGTTAAAAGCGTCTGGTTACCTCTCAGAACGCATCTGATACAGACATCAAGACCGCTGTATCTCTGGCTATCCGGCTTTGTCCACTCCTTCACAGCTACCGGATTTAGACGCTACGAAGACAACGGGCTTTGGTTTTTGACTCACTGGTACCGCCTATGCAACTTCATTTGAGACAGTTGGAAGGACCGAATTCAGAACTTCGGAGAGGAAATACCCTTGGATTTAAGTGCAGTTTGGGGCAACACCAGGTTTGCTGGTGAGGCCATTCACAGTGATGGCAAAGACTGGTAACCCAAAGTGACTCGTCTACGGGCAGCTAAAAATCTGGATCGCGAACGCCGGAAATGCCGATATTCGGGTAGATTTTGGGTAATTTGACAAACCGTGGATTACTATTAAGATCATGGAAGGGACTGTTGCTAGATAGAATGGTCTGCAAAACTGAAGAGCCATGAGGCTTGACTGCTCACAGTGTTATACATCTTCTAATGCGGCCTCGATCACGTGGGCTTACGCAAGTTGCCTCAGTAAAACAGGCCTTATGAATTACCAGCCTACGCGCCGGTTGACCTGCTAAACTTAACTGCATGGAACCACAGTAAATTTGTCCCGTTTCCTAACGTATGCCAGCCCAACATTTTCATGAAAAGGATAACAACGTCATTACTCTTACGGTTAATGGGTTAACCCATGTGGTACAGCGTGCGAACGGGAAACCACCGGTAAATTTGCACGATGCTGTACTCTGAAACGTGCGGTATTACCCTGAAAATGAAAGGACCTGGTGCACGACACTTGTACTCTAATAATGAACAAGTGCTTGATGCCGGTACCCATTGTGAAGCCATCATGTTTAGACTGGCTAGCAGCTTGTAATAGTTATACGAAGCTTTTTGTGCAGCTCCACAGTCTCAGCGCAACCACCACTGCTCCCTTGGTGATCTTAGGCTTCCACTAGCTTTACCACCTTTTAGGAGGCTGTGAGGCACTTTAATCTCCAAGTTTCTAAAACACTCCGGAGGATCCAAGGTGCCAAAGTACTGCCAAGTTACTTAAGACTAGTCCAAGAGAAAAATACTGGATTGGAATCAAAAACCTGTCTGTCGGTTCCACGCATTAACCAGTGAAGCCATTCGGTGCTTAAAAATATGGGAGGAAGAGTAGTGGGATTTCAGTGCAGTCTGTCTTAACTTCCCCACACATCAGGAATTACAATTCAATCCAGTAAAACAAAAGCAGTTTTTGCGAAAAACCCAACAGGTCAAAGTAATTCTAAGGGTTCACGTCAGTAGAAGGTATTATACTGAGAGATAATCTCAAACAGGATAGCTAGTGAAGCCACAGCGAACTCACCAGACATCCAGTCCATGGGGTGCAAGCCCCAATCCTCGGAACATTCCCAAATGAACCACTGATCACACAACATAACTTTGTCGGTTTAAGATGTAAAAGAACGGTTTTCAAAGTAACAATGCAGACTGCATGTTTTGAGCTTGACTTTTGCCGACAAAAGTCTGGTTAAATTTATACCAACCACCTGAATGTTGTTCGTGCGCGGTAGATGCACACACGCACCAAACCATTTGTCATTGTTGGCTCTGGTGTGAGAACCACTGGAATAATATTGATGCGCATGAGTACCGACAGAACTCGCGTTTGGACTTGTCAGTTTTGTGGAGAACAATAAAATTCGCATGTCATTTAGCGCCCGTACGCCTACATCTAAGATTCCTTGATGCACGCTTTCTGTGTTGACTACGATAATCATAATCAGCTCGACAACTATCTTTACACTGAACCCCGGAACTTTCGGTGTAGCGTTTCGAAAATAACGAGACGGTCGGAGTTATGAGAACAATGAAACCGTGACACTGTGCCACAAATCCATCACATTATACAGATTTTAAATCCGATAAAAGAATATCAGTTAGATTTTGCAATGTGCAGAGAGTGGGAAACTTGGTGTTCAGGAGTTGACTTCAGTACTTTCTATCGTTCACTGTACCCAAATTAGTAATTTGTTAAATAACAGAAAGTTTAGAGCAAAAGAAGCTTAGTCGGTAAAGCTTTGCTTCTTCAGTTGAAATATATGGCACACTTCCTTTCGTCATTTTGGAAATATATTGTTGAAATACGTTATTGCATATTGAAATGGTTCTGGCAAGATTTACTCAAAATTGATGAAATATATTAACTTCACCTTGGTGCAGACCAGATGCGATAAGCTAACATGACGAGGCACACTTCATTCTAGAAGGTGTTGTCAATGATGCGTTATATCTAGGCCTACAGTACTATATTCTTTTCGGAGTTGCAAACCGGTGTCCTTAGTAGTGATGCTCTAACATTACCTTTTTTACCTCCGTGAAATGAGTTCGCGTGTTTTCAGAAATGCGTTTCGTCGTTGTGTATTCCAGTGTACGTTGGGTGAATTTCAGTTACCACTTTGCAGACGAACTGTCTTAGGAAGCTCACATCATACACAATCGGGTTTCGTATTGACTTCCTACGAAATAAAACAGATGGGGATTTTGTATTCAAAACATGAAAAACCATAACCGTTTATTTCATAAAGGCCATGAACAAATAATTCTTCCGAAAGGTCCCTGTTTCTATTATCTTTCACCTCATTTTCCTAGTCAAAGGCGGCTACAAATTTCATTCAGGCTCAGTTTTAACAGAGAAGCATTTGTTATCATGATCAAAAACTTTATTCACGTGATCGTTCTTAATATGAGAAAATCTTCAATGCAAAGTCTGATAGTTTACAATAAGAGAAAAGTGATATCATTATCAAAACAGTCTATTAATTTTGTATATCCGGACGCCCGTATAGAATTTTTTCGATATAAATCTTACCCGGTTGAACCATTTTAGCAGTACGTTTTGGGCAACAACACAACGGTCTACTCTGAAATAAAAAATGCTTCACTTTCAAGTGATTATGGAAGACCCTGTATCCTAAAATGCAGAAATAAACAGGCAAACATTTTCCTATTTTTAAAGCATCAAGTGCCTTCCTAGTCCATTTTATTCCTTTCTTCACAATAAGGCTTTCAGATAAATCGTGGTTTTATGGGCGCGAAGCCTCAGTGTTAAACGCTGTCACGCTGACGATGGTAACGGTGATGATAATCTCCGGTGAAGAACTCCACCACATAAAAGTAGATAAAATATTTCACGAGTGGTCCTTGGAATAAAAATTTTTTAGGAAGTCTGTATATCAATATTTGGATGTAATGTGCCAAACTTCAAATTGAACACAAAGAATGAAAATCATTTTACAAACTTGTGTTGAATTTGGAGATAAAATAGCGCAAATTGTTGATTGTACGAACAAGGGAAAACTAGTATTGAGTTCGGAATTAGTCGCCCTATAAACGCAATCTGATTTGTGACCAACATATTCAAGCCAAAGCTCTAACATCCAGCATAATCATTTAGTAATAATCAGAGTTCATTTTGGTTTTTGTAAGTACGTCGTACCATCCACAATCCGATTGGCAGGTACAAGGGCTTTTTTCTTCTGATCATCGTGATTTATTCTGACAACAAAGCTGCTGCAGTCTTCTGAGATACTGTTGGTTGGACCACCGTTTAATCGTTTGAGGACTTTTGCGAGTTGCCCAAACTAATATGCTGTAGGCAGTGTACCGATAAAACATATTTTCACTTTAAAAGTGAAGACATTGGTCCATGGAATGTAGCATGAGAGTCACTGGTGTCCTATTGTCCGGCAGAACAGCTGAGAATGTAACTCGTGAAATTTTAGAGGGCAGTAAAGCTTTGCGCATGTAGCAAGCATGGTAAAAATTGGATATTTGTATGTAACGAAAGTTTGGCCGTTTTACTGCACGTGGCGAGGAGTCGACAACGACATACCTTTTGGCAGAGAACGACTTTTGAGGTCATGTTCACTCGAGGAACTTGGCAAAAAATATCATTCTCATAAGTCCGTGGGACATTTGCGAAGCCAATATTTATTGGGAATAAAACAAATCAATAGATCAAAAAATCTATCGGAATGCATCCGGATAGAGTAATTTGATTTGTGTTCTACGGAAATATACGACACCTGAGGATATTAAATCAGACGGATATGTTTTGTTACGTTTTGCGCACCCCAAGGCCGAGTGAAACAAATGGGTGTCATCCTAACATTGCTCGAACTATTCTTAAGACGCCAGTGATGATCAGACGCATTTTGGTCCACACCATTTTCACTATATGACATCTTGATATTTCATTTAGACTTTTCAACTGGAATGTTACATTTTGCTGAGAGAACCGAAGTAAAGAATACCTTAGCTGTATACCCATCCAAGGTTAGAATTCACTCACTTATATAAAACCGTGAAGATTGAAGGAAACAAAACTTGCTTCTTTTTTTTTGGGGGGGGGGATCCAAAACACTTTATTATACTCACGAAGCGGATGATTCCTGGCTCTGTGTCAAAGTTGTGCAAGTCTCTTTTCCCGTGTCAGTGTCGGATAAATACACCTGTACTTTTTCCTTATGTTCTCTTCAGCAAAAATACTAAAACCGGAGAGTTACCCATAAAAATAAAAATCACCGATGTACACGGTAATGCGAAATATTTGCAAAACTGCCTGAGGGTTGCAAGCAGCTCGCTGTCTCGTAGAAACCTATTCACAAGGTAAAATCATCAATATTGACACCTATGGCGTGTTCAGCTCTTCAGTAGTTATGCTCTAATTAAACTTTGGTCGTAAATTGGTAGAACAGAGGATATCGAGGGATCTATATTTCGAGGTTAATTCCTGGCATTCGGCAGACTACCTGATACTTTATTCGTCTAATGGTAAGAAGGCAAGCATTTGGGAACGAATCATGATCACCAGGGTACAAAGCGTGTTGCCTTACATTGACGTGGTCAGGTCATGTACCACGCAGTCATAACTAACTTCTAGAGATGTCTACCTTTCCCATTCCAACCGAAAGAAAATTAGGCTGTGCTGCATGGCAGTGCGAAATGAAAGGGCTAGAGTCAAGTTGAATTCTGAGAGATCATCATGTCCTCCTGTCTAAGGTGCCCTTGGTGCTCCTCATACTCACCCGGTTGCCCTACAGGGCACAGCACTTGATCGATTTCGGCAGCAAGCATGTTTCCACGCGGTAATCGCAGCGCCTACCAGAAATTAATCTGTGGTTGTGTTTAATACACTGGATGCGTGCCTGTGTCAATTTTTATGTTTTTGAGAGTATAGATGGTTTGTTCTTTACTGTATCCCCTGAGGTCGGGTTTTTACGTGAGCCGTCATCCAAACTGTTTATTCTCATTGTTCAGTGCAACGCTCCTTCCCTATGGTGATCCGCCCGTTAGGAATCAGTGTCCGGATGTGAGCTTTTACAGCAGTACTTTAGGCTCAATACAGACAGAGTAACTTTGAAGGAAATACAGAATTTTTCTGAGTATTTACAAAGAGTGTTACCGGCTTGTGGACAGTCTGGAAGGCATGAGTGCGTTGCGGCAAAAGCCTACCGGTTTTCAAAACGTGACTTTTTGTTGTACTTCTGTATACCTATTCTTCTTTCGAATCAAATTCGCTCAATGCCCAAAGAAGTTGTGGACTACTTGAGATGGCAGAGGTGTCCCTCCAGAGGTAGGAAACCCCATAGGAAACTGAGGAATTGTTCGCAGTTTATTATGCTGATTTGATGTATTTTCGTTGGTTCCCAAATAAGATACTCAGCTGTGTGAGAAAACAAAGGCCTGATAAGTTGGACATGTAAACAACGGTTGAAAATTATTAGGGGTTAACAGACTTTTTAATTATCTCATTCTGGAGAGATACGTGTCATAGTTTCGCATGGTTTGTCAAGTCTGACGTACTAGACAGAATTTTTTACCGCGTATTGGTTGTCAAATGGCAGATCGGTCGGCGGAAATTCAAGTGAGACCACAAAATTACTGGAAAACATAAAACTGTCGGACGAATGGAACTGATATTACTTCCATATCTTCGTTTTCGGTTTTACAATAACTGAGGATTTGGTTCCTATCCGTCACTGATCTGTCTATGGATAAACTATTGATCCAGGAATAGATCTGGGCATCATTTTTCAGCTACTCACTTCTTTTATAAGTAGCTAAAAATAGCGGTACGTCAGGTGAGGCGAATACATGCTACTTAGCTGTGCTCCCGAGCAAATGCTCCACAAGTGGTATGCAGTTTTCTCTGAGAACAACTGTGTACCTCTGCTTACTAGTATATGAAAATAACTGAAAAACTCTCCAAGACCTTATTCCACGATTATTGTCAAACATTGCGTTATTTCATTCCTTTGGAAGTAAGGATTGTGTTTTTAGACTAGCCGGACAAAAGCTAAAGTCAATTTAAACCACAGTGACGATAGTCCGAAATTTCGGCGCCATCATATCCCCATTTTTGAATCGTTTACGA